CAGAATCATGTGAATGTTTTACAGACTTAAAAAAAAACTGATATAAAAACAGAAACAAATGAACCCAACTGTATTACAATACAGTACAATACAATACAACTGTATTACAATAACATAACCACTCGGAAGGGAAGGATGGAAAAGAAAGAACCAACCAAACTTTAGAACACAAGGTTAATTGAATATCCAAAGGCTAAACACAAAAGAAGTATGTACAGATATTCTACTCCAATAGCAAGCCTGTTTGGAATAGTAGTATAGGTTAGCAGTTTCTAAACTGTGTTATGTGTATTTGAGGATTGAGGGAAAAAAGGAAGGAAGGAAGGAAGGAAGGAAGGAAGGAAGGAAGGAAGGATGGATATGAGGTCTGATTTTCAAAGGAATTAAAAATAAGGGCATTTATAATGAACACTGTGGTATTGGATTGGAAGTATCAGTGTGAACTCATTTTTTAAAGTATATATACAGATCAGATACAAGTATACTGATAAAGAAATACATATAGTTGTATACACATATATCTTGTAGCTCTGTCAACTGAGAGGATCTTGAAGCAGTGATACTGAGTACAGTGAGAAGATCTTACACCCAGATCTTCATTTCTAAGTACCATTCTCAGTAAAAGAACCAGGGCTGTTTAGAGTGGAGATACTACAAGAGAAATGTTTGTGCCAAAACATCTGCGTGAAAAGGTATGGAAGTTATAAAAATGATAGAGTCCATGTAAGTTTTCTGTTGCTTCATAACAAATTACCACAAATTTAGCAGCTTAACACACACACACACACACACACACACACACACACACACACACACACACACACCACAGTTTAGTCCAGGAGGTCAGAAGTCCCACTTGCCAGGCAAAAGTGCCAAAAAGATGAAATCAAGGTACCAGCCAGGCTGTATTCCTCTCTGAAGGCTCCAGGGAAGAATCCACTCCCATGTTCATTCAAGTTGGCTGAATTCACATCCTTGAGGTTGTAGGACTGAGGTTCCTGTTTCCTTGCTGGCTGGCTGCCAGGCTCACTCAGCCTTGGAGGCTGTTCTCAGGTTGTCACATGGTTCCCTTCATCTTCGAAGTCAGAATTGCTTTTATATTGAATCCTTTTCACATTTTGCACCAACTTCTTCTGTCTCTGAGCTCCCCACCATATTTAAAGGGCTCATGTAATTAAGTCATACCCATACGGATCATTTCATCTTATGATCAACTGGCTTGGGACTTTAATGACATCTGCAGAATTCCTCACAGTATTATCTTAATCAGTGTTTGATCAAATGACTGGATGATACACTGTGCTCTGGCAATCTTGGGGCCCATTTTAGAATTCTTTCTACCACAGGGTTGTATCAAAAAGACAAGATACAGCAACCAATAAATAGAAATTGCTAGAACACTGCCATTTATGTCTGTGGACTCCAGGTAATTGTTAAAATTCTTTAAAAGTACCAAAAAAAAAAAAATTCATTGCACTTTTCTTTCAATAAAGTTGTTGAATTTCCAAAAAAAAAAAAAAAAAAAATTCATTGCACTTTTCTTTCAATAAAGTTGTTGCATTCCAAAAAAAAAAAAAAAAAAAAAATTCTTTAAAAGTAGTCTTAACATTTGCCTCAGTTTCAGGTATTGTCAGAGATCACTAATAGTCTATCTACCTATGTATCTGCAAGATGGCAAAAATGTGCATTTTCAAGTACTATAAGGAAGAGATATATATATACTTAGTGCCCACTATGGGTTCTGCATAACCATCTCGTCATTTCATCCCCACTTTGTTCCTCTGAGGTGGTTATTAGTGTCCCCATTCTCTGAGGAGGATGCCAAGGTTCAAATTGTTCAGTGAAAATCACAGCATTGCACAGGTGGCACAATTTTCATCCATTAATCTTGTAAATGCAAAAGTGCATTGCCAATGTTAACCAGTATTCACAATAAATGTTAGAAAAAGAGGAAGGGCACAAGAACCAATTCAGAGGGCCTCCCAAATGGCTAGATCTGTTGCGAAAGTTTGTACAACAAAATAATGACGGCAACATGTTATAATTCATATAATAAAATATATGCCTGTTAATCCATACTGCTATAAACCACTAAATAAAAAATGGGGTGAAAGGAAAGGTGATGCTTTACAGAATTCCAATTAATAGATGTAGGACGGATAATGGAAATAGCAAGTTACCATTTGACATATGCCAGAGCAATAAACATTTCATGTAAGAATCATCAACATATCCTAAAATTCATGGACAGAATATGATGAGAAATGGGATATTTACATAGTCTCAAAGTGTCTTCCAGAGGATAATTATTACATAGGAGAAAATATTAACTTTATAACAGAGAAACCTGGCCAACATCACGTTAACCAAGTAATCAATTTATAGTCACCAGTGACAAGACAGGTTGATATCCAGTGCCTTCTAGGGTGATGCATTGAGGATACATTGCTTCTACGGAGTTCTCACCAAAAATGCGTAATTCTGAGAAACATCAGACAAACCAAAATCCAGGGCTACCCTATGAAATAACTGATCAGTACTCTGCAAAAAGTACTAAGGTCATGAAAGGCAAATAAATTCTGAGGAACTGATTTAAAGGAGACTGAAGAGATACTACAGCTAAAAAATAAATTGTGACCCTGGATTGAATCTTGGGCCAGAAAAAGGGTGTTAGTGAGACAGTGGTAAAATTTGAAAAGTCTAGTATTTGTACATTTTTTGACATATCCCTTAAGACTTGCCTGAAGTCACTCTTTCCATGTCCTCATAATAGCATTATATAAATATATGAACATTAATTTTCTCATTTCCATAATTGTACTGTGCTAATGGAATATGCTATATTAGGGAATCTGGGTGTACACAACTTAAAAAAAATTCTTTTAAGGTTTCATCTTAATTTATCCACCAAAAAATTTTGCTGAATTATCTTGAGGTTTACTAACAACTTTTTCTAAAAGGATAGAATTATATCAAATCACTATCTCTGTGTATATATACACACATACACACACAAACATGTATGTATACATCATTACATATTCATATTCTACATATTAAACTTATTTAAATGTTTACATTAAACTATATACACATCTATATAAAAATGTTCAGCCTTCAACATATTGATAGCAAATATTTTCCCTGAATCTTTACCTTACAGTTTTGTATGTTATTTGACACATAATGCTCAAAACATTGAGTTTTGATTTGTTTTTTCAAGTAAGCTTTAATACTGATGGTGGGGCTTGAACTCACAACCCTGAGATCAAGAGTTGCATAGCTCTACCAACTGAGCCAGCCAGGAACCCATCTGAGCTACTCTTTTGAGTCTCCTATTCACTCACCTGCAATGTAGCATCCTATGAAATTTCTCATTAAATGACCACCTCCTATAGTTCAATAGGTAGATAGGTAGATATGTCTTACTTTTTATTGTTTCCAGTGTTTTACTATTTCCAATGTTTTATTATCTCTGTGACATCTTTTGTATGCACATCTTTGGTAAAATGCCTAGCTTTGTGATATGTTCTGAGAAAATGGTTGCCATTACCTTCCCATCAATAGAGAAGAACACTCATTAATTTGCTCATGCAATTTTTATTGACTATCTACTATGTGACAGGCACTGTTCTAGTCAGTAGGAAGAGCACTGAACAAAAATGGACCCTCTTCTACCCTCAGGTCAAACAGAAGGGGGAAGAAGGTTTACTGTTTACTGTTTACTTCTTTCTACAGCAATTTAACTGCCTCCCCCACTTGCTTGCCATTCTTGATATTTCAATTCCAATTCTTATCCTGAAATTTCTAGTGGCAACTTAAAAGTGTAAGTATGACTACAAAAAGCACATTTATTCTATTTTTTTTTTTAACCTACAATAAGGTTATTATGAGAATTAAACAAGATGCAGGTAAAGTACTTGGTACACTGCTTGACAATCAACATAGCCTCTGTGAGGTAGATACTATTTATTGTTTCTCATATTACAGTCAAGGAACCTGGGGCTCAAAGATGAAAAATAACTTGCTTAATGTTACATAGGTAGAAAGTGGCAGTACAAACCTTTGAATCATGTCTGACACCAAAGCCTTAATTCTTAACCACAGTACAAGTCTTCTGTTCTAGAATATTCTCATTAATGTCAACCCATACTTAAATCCTACAGGTATATACACAACATTGTTTTTTTTCCCCCTCTCTCTCATTGGCATTTATCACCCTTTCTCAATTTTGGATCTACTGGCATTAACAACAAAAAGTATACGGGGACAAGTTACTCAATTACAAATCCAACACTCTAGACGTAATACAAAAGTTAATTAACTTAATCATTGATATTCAACTCAAACACAAACTGCTTCCTTTATTTTTTTAACAGTAACACAATAACTTACTTGTAACAAAGCCACTGAAAGAACAAAATAAAAACAAAGCTAATTAAGAGGAGTTGCTTCATCTCAAATGAGTTATCTCCTTTAAACAGGAAAAACTACCATTAGTCTAGTGGTTCTTAAAGTTCTCCACGCATTAGGACTGGGGAAAAGGAGGACTGGTGTTTTAAAAAATAGCTATACCTAAGGCCCATCTCAATTAAATGGGAATCTCTCCAGTGGGGCTCAGGCAAGGATTTCTGAAGTGTTTTCTGTGTTGAGAACAAGTCTAAAGTAATAAGCAATAAAAACCATGCCCTCAAAACAATTCGAAATCAAGAAATTAAAAAATACAACTAAATTTCTTTCTTCTTACCCAGGAAAAGGGTGGGGGGGCAACACCTATTTGCTCCTCATTGTTCTTTAACCATTTATGATTCCCCAAAGTAGAGTTAAACAAGTATCAAACACTGGAAGCTATGCAAACATGCTACCCAAATGGGAATTTTCACTACTTTACATTTAGAAAGTTCTTTTAAAACTATACCACCTTAAGAATCCCCCACATTTTAAGTTTGCATAGATGTTTAAGTTGGCTATCTGTTCAACTAAGAAGAGGCAATACAATGTACTAGAAAGCATTTTATTAATAAGAGTTATTATAAAACAATATTCATTTCATGTACCACAAATTAACTTTTTGGTACAGAGAAGAGGAATTATTTGTGTTCTCCACCTACTTTGAAAACTGTCAGAATTCCTTTTTATAAGATGAGTATGTTCAAATTTCAAGTCTAAACATAAATTTTTCTTTAAGAGTACATATATAAAATACTTCCCCTGTAACTGTGCTATATCCTTAACAAACCCCCTTGGGAGTTTCAGTAGTGACTGTAGGTATTTATTTTTCAAACAACTTTTCCTCATTTCTCAGCTTTGGGAATGGTATCACATCAAGTACGGAAAATAACTTTTCTCCTTAAGAATACGTGAATTCGTTTAAGAGATGTCTCCTCAAATTCAGAAAAACCTATTCTTCAACTCCTTCTGTCAGGACTCCATGTCAATCTCAACCACTTCATTCTTGCCTGGAAGCGTTGCTTCTGGCAGGTTATCTTCAACTATATCTTCGATGTCTGCCAGATCAATAGGTGGTAAAGGATTCCTCCAATACTGGAAGGAGTTATACTGCCAAAATTCTTCATTGAGCTTTAGGACAAAAAGAAAGATGAAAGTATATCAACAGTTTATAGAAAGTTACTTTTTTTTTTTTTAAGGCAAAAAATTTTCTTGTTTTAAAAGCAAACTCACTTAAAGATTTTGTGGTCTTTTATTTTGCATCTTCAACAAAGACACCTTTAAATTCTGCCCAATCAAAGTGCTTCATGGACTCAGTCAAATCTGTGCATTTTCATATTCATGGATTTGTGAAAATATTTTGTTAGTAGTTTATTTTAAAAGAATTTCTTGGGGCGCCTGGGTGGCTCAGTGGGTTAGGCCGCTGCCTTCGGCTCAGGTCGTGATCTCAGGGTCCTGGGATCGAGTCCCGCATCGGGCTCTTTGCTCAG